TTTTTTTTTGAGAGGTTTTTGCTATAGGGTGTGTGTGCTCGCCAGAAAAACAGAGAGAGACAGAGACAGAAGGCGAGAAATCACCCCCCCCGGGGGGGTTGGCCACGCCACAATCCCTTCTCCATTCTCCTCTCGGGATCTTGGGCACGCACGCACACATGCCTGGCATGAGTTTAAGCCACCAGGTCCGGGACTCGAACTGCAGTTGACTACGTGGGAGTCCAGTGACACAGACATTAAAGCAACTGCTGGTCACAGAGGCTGCTGTTTGTCTCCCAGTAAACCCTAGATTGTACCTACCCCAGACAGAGACTACCTTTGTCACCTTCTCTGGAGGCCAAGTGGGGCCTGTGATTACTTTCTGGCCAATGAGATGTAAGTGGTAAGGATTATGTGGTATTTTTCAAAAGCTTTTCTATGAGGAAGGAGGCAAGCCTCGCGCTCGCCAGAAGGACAGAGAGAGAGAGAGAGAGAGAGAGACAGAAAGCGATAAATCACGCCCTGGGGGGATGGCCACGCTGCAATCCCTTCTCCTCCATTCTCCTCTTGGGATCTTGGGCACGCATGCACACGCGCCCAGCATGAGTTTAAGCTGCCGGGTCCGGGACTTGAGCCGCAGTCGACTATGTGGGAGTCCAGCAACATAGCCATTCCGCTAACTGCTGGTCCCTCTTTTTCTTTCTTTTATTGCTTGGAATGTGGATGTGATGGTTAGAACTCTAGCAGCCTTACTGCACTATGAGGATTAGGAATGCAAGAGCCTCATACACACAGAGGCTATCTTAGATCGCCAGGCTCTAGAGATCTTTTATGTGAAAAACAAATAACCCTCTGTTTAAGCAATTAGGAACTTTTGAGAGATAATGCAGGGCTGGCAGGTGCTGCGGTGGTTAAGGCTCTGAACTCCTACACGGCCGACCACGGTTCAAGTCCTGGACCTGGCAGCTTGCTTTCTCACTTTCTCACTCTCTGTCTTGCTCTGTCCCTCTAAATAAATAAATTAAAGTTAAATAAAAATAAAACAATTCTTTTTTAAAAAAGAAAGATAATACTAATATAATAGGAAAATCTACAAAGGTGACTTGAAGAGTACAACAAATCAGGCCTAGGGGAAAGCCTGGACCAGGAAATGAAGCACATCATACTAGTAACTGCCAGGGTGGACAATGGTGCAGCAGAAAACGCCAACACTCTGGGAGGCTGGCCCACACATGAGGTTCCAGGTCGGTGTCTAGGGACCTTCTAAGTATGCCAGGCATGCCCTGTGCCCATGGGCCCAGCTGGCTGGAGCTCGGGTGGATAGCAGTGCCAAGACCCCATCTCTGTCTCTCTGTCCTTACTCAGGGGAAAAAACAAAATCTTAAAGAAAAATAGGTAACCATCAACTGTTGATGATTTTTGAAAAACAGTTGTATTGCCATATCCTTTGCATGCCATAAAATTTATCCATTTAAAAAAGGAACAATTCCGTGTTGTTTAGATATTTGTGAGATAGCGCAACCAGCACCATAATCTAATTTTAGAACATTTGCATCACTCCCAAAAGAAACTTTGTACCCATTCGCCACCATATTGGGCTCTATTCTATTCCTAGCATTGAGGAAAGTGCTTTGGGGCCAGCAGGTGGTGTGGAGGTTAAGGCAGCTGATCCTACCGGGCTGGCTGAGTGGTTAGAATCCCAGACCTAGGACTGAAAATCACACCGGGTGCATGTGTGTGCGTGCCCAAAATCCTGAGAGGAGAATGGAAGAGAAGGGATTGCAGCGTGGCCATCTTCCAGGGTGTGTGTGTACACAGTGTGTGTGTGTGTGTGTGTGTGTGTGTGTGCGCACTTTCTCCCTTTTTCTCTGTCTCTCTCTCTGGTGAGTGCACACACCTTATAGCAAAAACTGAAAACAACAACAAACGAGAGAGAGAAGTGCTTTATAGATCTCGTTTAACCTCTGAGCTTGGTGTTATTATATTTTTTAGGTTTTTGCTATAGTGTGTGTGTGCTCACCATAGACAGAGAGGGAAAGTGAGCAATCACCCCTACCCCCTGGGGGTATGGCCACACTGTAGTCCTTTCTCCTCCATTCTCCTCTGGAGATTTTGGGAGTGCACACACATGTATCTGGCGTGATTTTCAAGCTACTGGGTCTAGGACTCAGACCATGGTCAGCCATGCAGGAATCCAGCACCTTAACTGCCATGCCATCTCCTAACCCTGTTATCCTCCTGTAAAAGAAAAAAAAGAATTATTTTTAAAATTCCATTTGTTATTACTATTATTTTCCAATTTCATCAGAGAGAGAAAAAGGGTAAATGAAAAAGCAGGCTGTCAGGTCTGGGACTTGAACCCTGGTCAGTCAGGTGGAAGTCAATGTCGCTGGATGCCCCCCATGTAGTTGACCGCGGTTCCAGTGCTAGACCCGGCGGCTTAAACTCACACCAGGTGTGTGTGCGTGTGTGCCCAAGATCCCGAGAGGAGAATGGAGGAGAAGGGATTGCAGTGTGGCCATCCCCCCTGAGGGGTGATTTCTCGCTTTCCGTCTCTATTTCTGGCGAGCGCACGCGCCCTATAGCGAAAACCTCTCCCAAAACAGAGAAAACCAAGTCCCAGAGATAGACTTGCCGAAGAGTATACAACACCCAGTGCCAGCTCCAAATTCAAAGCGTTTCTATCGACGCCAAAGCCCGCCCTTCTCAAACCACTGCCCAGTTGCCATGACCCCGGCCTTGGAATCTGCCTTTTAACCCAGTCTCGGCCTTACTCCCGAGGCTCCTCAGTGTTTTCCTCAGTGCCTCCGCCCACAGTCAGGCCCTATTTTTGGTCTGGTTGTCGAGGCTCTTTATGTTCCCGGCTGGGCACAGGTGGCTGGTGCCTGGGCCCAGCGTCTGCCCTTTAATCCGCTCCCTGTGCCCAGATCTGCTCAGGTTACCCACACCTCCACCCCGGCCCGCCTTGCCTCCTGAGGATGGGCCCCAGCTCTTAATGCAGAGCCCTGGCCCTACTCCACTCTTCTAGCCTCATCCCCCGGGCCCTTTAGTTCTGTCACCCTGGGCCCTGCCAACTTCTAAATGTGTCCTCTGTGTTCTCGTCGCCCCACGTGTGGTCCCGTGCTTTGTGTATCTCCACCCTGCTACATTCTAGTCCAGTGTCACACCTCCTCCACAGAGCCCTCTCTGTTCTGGTGTGCAGACCTTCTTCCCACTCTCTGCTCCCTACCTGGGCATTGCTGTGGTATGAGTGAGCCTCCCACTCCCAGTTCGTGTGCTGAGATTGAGTGGCCATGGTAAAGGTGTTCTGAGGGCCAGGACGTGTTCCCGTGCAGTGTCAGGAGGTGGCGCCTCTTGGGAGTGATTGGGATTAGAAAAGGTCACGGGGTGTGCTCCCCCCATGGCTACGAGGGGCTTTATGAGCAGAGGGCGAGAGACCAAAGGTGCTCTTGTGCTCTTACCTTGGTGCCCTGTCCTAACTTGGGGCTCTGCAGAGAGACCCACCAGGAACACGGCCCTCCCCGGATACTACCCTTGACCTTGGGCCTCCGGAACCGTGACTGAGCAAAGCTTTATTCTGTATAGATCACCCAGCCTGTGAGGTTCAGTTGCAGCAGCAGACACAGAATCTCACCACGGACTGCCTTTCTACAGGGACTCCTGGACTGCAGGAGCTTTGAATCTAGAGGTTAGGGTCCTCTGACTGACAGGTCGGAGTCACTTGCCCACCTCTATAGTCAGAGGTGGGGTCCCACCCAAGACAGGTTAGGGAGCGGAGGACCCCTAAAAAGGTACTAGTACATAGCATTGGAAACCTACGTCCCGTATAGCTGGGATGTATCTTCGTCTGTTCTCCTCTTCCTTCTGCGCGTCCTCCTCCTTCTCCTCCTCCTTGCCTCCTGATGCTTTTTTTTTTTTTTTGGTTTTAAGATATGGTTTTGGAGACCAGCAGGTAGCATGATGGTAAGGCACTGGACTACCCATGGCCAACTACGGTTCAAATCCCGGACCTGGCAGTGTGAAACTCATGCCAGATGCATGTGTGTGCATGCCCGAAATCCCAAGAGGAAAATGGAGGAGAAGAGGTGGTGCCCCCTTTCTCTAACAGTTAAAACCACGGGGTCACTTCTCTGTTTGGGCTGTGTTCCCATGGTAAGGAAATGCCACGAGAGGGACTTGTTTTGTTTTTGAAGAGGTTTTTCTTTTTTTCTTTTTTTTTTTTGCTATAGGGCGCGTGTGCTCTCCAGAAAGACAGAGACAGATAGCAAGAAATCACCCCCCAGTGTGGATCGCCATGCTGCAATCCCTTCTTCATTCTCCTCTCAGGATTTTGGGCACACACATGCGCCTGGTGTGATATATATATATAGAGGGACTTGTTTTGTTTTTGAAGAGGTTTTTCTTTTTTTCTTTTTTTTTTTTGCTATAGGGCGCGTGTGCTCTCCAGAAAGACAGAGACAGATAGCAAGAAATCACCCCCCAGTGTGGATCGCCATGCTGCAATCCCTTCTTCATTCTCCTCTCAGGATTTTGGGCACACACATGCGCCTGGTGTGATATATATATATATTCTTTTTTGACAGGTTTTTTGCTATAGGGCGCGTGCGCTCGCCAGACAGACAGAGAGACAGAGAGACAGAAAGTGAGAAATCACCCCCCAGAGGGGATGGTCACGCCGCAATCCCTTCTCCTCCA